CTACGTTGAAAGACTGCAGGACCTGAACTTGTTCAACCTTCACAAGTGAAGGCTGAGGGGGGACCTGGTGACTGTCTATAAACTCACTAGGGGGGACCAGAAGGGTTTGGGAGAGACCTTGTTTCCCCTAGTACCCCCTGGCATAACAAAGAATAATGGCCACAAGTTGTTGGAGAGTAAGTTTAGATTAGACATCCACAAGAACTACTTCACAGTTAGGGTGACTAGGATCTGGAACCAACTTCCAAGAGAAGTGGTTCTGGCTCCTACCCTGGGGGTCTTTAAGAGGAGGCTTGATGCCTACCTAGCTGGGATCATTTGAGCCCAGGTTTTTTCCTCCTGCCCAGGCAGGGGGTCGGACTTGAAGATGTACAAGGTCCCTTCCAACCCTACTTCTATGATTCTATGATTCTGTGATTCTATGATAATGCCAAGTTCTGAAGAAAGCTCAAACTTGCAAGAGGTAGAAAAGCAGTCTGGCATAATAAGGAGAGGATGGACATTTGACCCCTCATTCCCTGACCTCCCCATAGTGGCTGTGTAACAGGGAACCACCTACAGCCCCTGTTCCAAGAGCTAGGAGAGAAGGGAAGCATACTTACTGAAGGCAAGACAATTTTGCTGTCGCAGCCCAATTACATCAGATGCTGAGAGGGGGATTTCAGCGATGCAGGGGTTCTCCACTAGAGCCAAAACTAGTTGGCCACCAACCTGGAGGAACCTATTGAAGAGGCAGCCAGTAGTGAGTTCTTCCCCAGAGAGGGGAGAGTGAGAGGCAGTGAAAGGAAGCTGCTGAGAGTCCATGCGGAGGCACAGGGAATTCATAGAGATTAAGGAAACATAGGCCAAGTGAGGCAGGTTTGAATGCACCCTGATGGACCTCTAGCCATAGTGAGTCATCCAGAAGGACAAACCCAGGGAGGGGTGATGAGAGGAGCCAATTAGGCAGAGACCCAAACACAAAGAAAAGGACTGAACAAGTGAAAACTGGGATGCTTGATATCAGAGGGAAGAGGCTAGAGGGCCTGGGACTTATCAGATTTAAAAATCAATGGTGACCCGGTTCCCTGTCAGGACTACTACAGGGAAGACAAAGGTCCTAGACAAGGACAATCACATAAAAAAAGACCCTGACCAGGGTGTTTGTTGCAGGGTACTAAGGTGCCTGCTCCTTTAAGGGCTGAAACTGCTAGGGAGAGAGCACTAGCAGTCAGTCAGAAACACCTCAGCTGCAAGTTACCACAGCCACAGGAATGAGGGAATTAGCCCGCACGTGCCGGTGGTCAGCTAACCGGAGGAGGCAGGGCCTGGGGCATATATAAACCCCAGGGCTGGGGCCAGAGGAGCAGTTCCCTGTCAGCAGCTAAGGGGAAAGGAGCTCTCCTAGAGGAAGCTGAGTGAAGAGGCTTGATGGCCCATCTCCTGCTTCTGGTAAGATTAAGGGACTTTAGGAGCTCACCAGACCCTGGCCTCCAAGGCATGTTGTTCTCGGGGAAGGGTGATTCATTTAAAGGGACAGAGTACACCTGGAGCTGCTTGCATTATGTTATAGCCCAGGGGCTTGTATTTTGACTTCTGTTTGGAAACCGGTGGATTGGGCTGAGGCTATTGGGGAAAAAGGAGGCCTCATTGGGGACCCACTACAGTGTGAGAACCCCAGTGCCAGTGTGGGCGCAGTATCCAGGGTGCATAGACCCCAGCGCCAGTGTGGGCGCAGTATCCGTGGTGCACAGACCCAGCGCAGAGGAGGCGCAGTGAGAGACAGGGCTGCGGAGAGCCCAGTGACACTCAGAGGCCAAGTGAAATTAAGGCCTCGGTGGGATGCTGTGTGAATACCATCTGTGAGGCTTGGGGCGTGGTAAAAGGGCAGTTTGGTACCACACATCTAGCCCATAAGGCTGAGGGTGTCCCAAGACATCCATTTTGGAGCGGAACCCAAAAGGGGGTCCAATAACCCACAGGGTTCAGTGTGGTCCATTAGGACTGTGTCCGAACAAACTTGAGGACAGCATCCCTATTTATTATAGTTACACCAAGACATAGCAAGCAAGAAAGAAGGTGCCCATTGGGCTGAATTGGCCTGATCAAGGGGCCCTAGGGGTCCCACGGCTATCCCTGGGGACCCTGTCCCATGACAGTGTTCCTTCTTTTTTTTTGTACCCAAGAAAGTAGGGAGAAAAGATATAATCCTGTCTGAAGGAACTGAGGGAGGGCATGCCTGCTGAGAAAATAAGCTGAGTTAATGGTTGTCACATCTAGGGAAGAACGGCTTGATCAACTAGGATCACACTAAGTGGACGCTGATTGGGACTGGGCAGGGTGTAGGGGAGGTGGAACTCTGTGGCAGTAGCCAGCACTACTACACCTCACTACCATGCTAGCAGCTGTCCATCTCTTTTCACCAAGATCTCTTTCTCTTTAATAAAGCATGGCAGGTGAATAAGGACAGCTGTGAAAACGCTGGGTGCTGAGAAGGCCCTGTCTACAATCTGATACATTGGCTGGAAACATCACCAATCTCCTGAACTCCTTCAACAAGGACTGGGGGCCTCATTAACAAGCAAAGTAAGAAATGGACTCAGCTGGTACATATCTGGAACCACCCCAAGACTAGCAGCAAGCCCATGGCATAACTTTATGATTGCTCCAAAACCAGTGAGCACAAATAGAGGAATTAGTGAGAGCTAGGTCCCAAAAGGCTGAGGCCTGAATCATGCTTTTAACACAGCAGCAAGAATTGAGTGAAAAAATAGAAGCTCAACAAGCAACTCGGGAGCCAGGAGCAGGGAGAAGAGGAGGGATCCCCCTTACCTGACCCGAAGCGGAGGCGGACACAGCAGCAGCAGAGCCAGCAGCGAGGGCAGCAGCAGCTGATTCCCCCTAAGGTAAGTGGGGCAGAGGGACCGGATGCAGCTGAGCCAGATCCGGAGGGGAAGCCCGTGTAGAATTGTCTGTTTTCTCTTGAACTTTCTAAAAGTTATGCGCAGGTTCACCATCGTGGCTTTGGTTGCATGAGGGTGAATTTCTACGGTTTGAGCTACTGTAGCATTATGCACAGCAAGCATTACAATCGAAAGCTGTTGCATAAATACTAGTAATACCACAATGGAAAGGTGGCTGACTTCAACTTCTCTGAAGAGAAAGCACACTGAAACAAAAGGGACCTCTACGGAATCGAGAGAGTTAGACCTTGAAGAAGCTGCTGATTTACCAGAAAGTAGTACAGCTCGCATTGCTGGATTAAGTGAGGAGGCTGCTGGCACTTCTGAAACATGCCCACCTCCTGCAACAGTTGGTAAGTGCAAGATTTCAAGAAAGTATGATCCCAGCTATTTGGAATTTGGATTTACCTGGAGTGGTGAAGAAAGTGAGCCAATACCTCAGTGTGTGATTTGCTACAAACTCTTATCAAACCACTGCATGAAACCTTTGCTTCTTCTGCGGCATCTTCATACAAAGCATAAATCTTTTAAAGACAAACCTCTTGATTTCTTTAAAAGAAAACTCAGCCAGTTCCAAGACCTCACTAAGTGGTGCTAATGCAAGGGTTTTGGAAGCATCATATTAAGTAAATTTAAGAATTGCTCAGATGGGAAATGCACATACAATAGATGAGACTGTCATGCTTTCTGCCCTGAAAGACAACATTTCATCTGTTCTTGCAGAGAAATTTGCAAAACAGCTGGACATTGTTCCTTTGTCGAACAACACAGTATCAAGAAAAATTGAAGATGTGGCTTGCCAAGTGAAAGAAAAACTAATGAAAGCATCAAGAAAAGCAAGTACTTTTCATAGCAATTAGATGAAAGTACAGATATAACGAATTTTGCTCAACTTCTTGCATATGTAAGGTTTGAAGCAATTAAGGGAGATTTTTTGTTTTGTGACACCCTGTCAAGTTGTACAACAGCAGAACAGATATTCAAGAACTTGGATAACTTCGTAACTAGTAATGGATTACAGTGGCAAAATTGTATTGGCATGTGCATCAATGGGGCATGAGCCATGACTGGCAAGTCAGGAGGTGTTCTGGCAAAAGTAAAAGAAGTTGCACCCACTGCCAAATTCACGCACTGCAGTATACATTGTGAGGCTCTAGCAGCCAAGACAACGCCTGCCAATCTTCAGGTTGTTTTAGATCAGGCAGTAAAAGTGGTCAGTTTCATCAAAGGCCACTCAATTCACAATTGTTCTCTTCTGTCCAATGAAATAAGGAGTGAGCATGAAAAGCTTCTTCTCCAAACCAAATTGAAATTGTTTTCTCATGGAAAGGTGTTGGCCCTCCTCTGTTAGAACTCCATACTAAGTTGCAGATTTTTCTCAGTGACTTTAATTTTGAGTTTTCAGCCTGTTTCATGGATGAGCTGTGGTTGGCAAGGCTTGCCTTTTTGGCAGACACATTTTATATGGCTACCATAACTGATGAAACAAAGTTTTATGACTACTAAACGTCTTGATGTTGTTCTAATACATAGTCTGTTACCTATGTGTATGAAAAATTTGCTGGTGGTACTTAAGGTTGTATCGTTTTAAATTGGTGATGTGCAATCTGTCAGAGTTTGGGAACCATGGTACTATGCATTGACTAGAGAAAACTAAATGCAGTGCCGACTGCAATGGCATGCACTTTCCCATGCCACAAGTGGAAGACATGCTTGAAAGGATAAACCAAGCCTAATTTATATCCACCTTAGATTTAAATGAGGGGTACTGGCAGATCCCCATGGTGAACACTGATAAAGAGAAAACTGCTTCTGGGATGCTGGGGGAGGGGGGTTGTTCCAGTTTACTCAAATGCCATTTGGGCTGCATGGGGCAGCTGCATTCTTTCAGAGACTCATGGACAAAGTATTAGCACCACACCAAGCATATGCAGCAGCCTGTATTGATGATATTCTTATATTTTTGGAACAGTGGGAGCAGCATTTGCAACACTTACAGGCAGTCTTAATCAAACTCAGAAACACAGACTTAACTGCTAATCTGAAAAAGTGCTCACTGGGGCAAAAGGAGACCTGATACTTAGGGTTCCAGGTAAACTAGGGCTGCATCAAACCTGTAGCTTATAAGGTAGAGGCCATAAGGACCTACTGACTTCCCAGCAATTGGAAACAATTAAGAGCCTTCTTAGGGTTGACCAATTATTACTGGAAATTTTATTTCCTGATTTTCAGAATGGCACCATTAACAGACATAACAGAAGCGGGGGCGGGGAAGGAAAGACCTTCAGTGGTCCAAATAAGCACTTCTAACCTTTGAAAAGTTAAAAGTAGCCCTAGGTAAGAGTCCATTGCTATACACTCTGGATTTTGATTAAAACTTTCTTTTTGAGAACCGATGCCTCAGGAGTTGCATTAAAAGTGGTATTGTCCCAAGGCATTGCAGGGGAAGAGTGGCCCATAACCTATGCTAGTCAGAAATTATTAAGTGCAGAGACTCAGTACTCGACCACTGAGAGAGAATGCCTAGCAATTAAATGTGGTATTGAACTCTTCAGGTACTACCTGATGGGGAGGAAATTCTTGCTGATCACCCACCCCTTTAAAATGGTTGCAGCCCACAAAGACTGCTAATGCAAGAATCATGCAGCCCTTCAGCCATTTTATTTCTCTGTAGAACAGTTCCACAGGAAATGAAATGTGACCACGGATTTCTTATCACAAACCTCAGGAGAGACGAGCCCCAGTCCAGAAGGGTGAGAAATTTAAAGGACAGAGAAGTACCAGAACGTTTGGTGGTAGGTTATATGGATGATAAGGAAATGATTCAGAACTTAAGTAGGGGGGCGTGTAACTGGGGACCACCCGCGGCCTGTTCCAAGGGCTAGGAGAGAAGGATAGTGTACATACCAAAGGTGAGTCCAGCTTGCTTCCTACTGGTGCTATGACATTAGATGCCAAGAGGGAGATTCCAGTGATGCAGGGGTCCTCCACTGGAACCGGCACTGACTGGCCAGCAACCCTGGCCAGGACCTGTTGAAGAGGCAGCCAGCAGTGAGTTCTTCCCTGGAGAGGGGAGAGAGAGAGAGGCAGTGGTAGTGAGAGGAACCTGCTGAGAGTCGGTGCAGAGGCACGGACAATTTATACAGATTAAGGACACATCGGCTGCGTGAGATAGGTTCAAATGCGCCCCGATGAACCTCTAACCGTGGTCACCAGGAGGAAGATGAGAGGAGCTAATTAACCAGCAACCCAGACACACAGAAAAGGACTGAGAGAGGGAAAACTGGAATGCTTGATATCAGAGGGAAGAGGTCAGAGGGCCTGGGACTTATCCAGATTTAAAATAAACAGTGACCGGTTCCCTGTCAGGACAGTTACAGGGGAGACATGGGTCCTAGACAAGGAAAATCATGGAGACCAAAGCATTCCTTTTTTTTTTGTGCCCAAGAAGGGGGGAGAAAAGATATAACCCCATCTGAAGGAACTGAGGGAGGGCGTACCCGCTAAGAAAATAAACAGAGTTAATTAAACCTGGCCATCATGCCTGGGGAAGAGAGGCTCAATCAACTAGGATCATGCTACATGGATACCAGTTGGGACTGGGCAGGGTGTAGAGGAGGCAGAGCCTTGTGGTGGTGGCCCAAGCATCTGTACCTCACTACCATGTGTCAACCTCTTTTCATAAGATCTCTCTTTCTTCTTAATAGAGCATGGTGGGCAAGTGAGGAGGACAGCAGCGAGAATGCCAGGTCCTGAGAAGGCCCATCTACAGGCTACAACCACTTCTCCTGGACCAGACCACAGGGAGACACTAAGTCTCCCTCCTTGTCAACCAATAACAAATGCATTCAATCCAAAAAGGAAAGCGACTAAATGCATGGCAATTGGTCCCACCAGGCATACCTCCCCATCCTGCTTTATGCTTTTTGAATACAATAAGTAGATTGTTTAGGTAAAAAAGGTAAAGGTTTTCTGATATTTTCATGAGTGACCTCTTTGACACTAACGTACTTAACTATGGCTTGGAACTATTTGTCAAACTGAAAGGGATACTATGTAGAAAGGTTTAGTTGGTTTGCTCCTTTTGGAGAGAGAGAATTATGGAGGGTTCCCAAGTGAGAGGGAAGCTTTGTGTTTTCATTGTACAAGTGTACAATACTGTCATGTTGTCTGGATTTGTGTGTACACTTTGTCGTCTGGGGATTCACCAACTGTTTAGTGTTATCCACACTAGAACTGCAAATTCTTGTTTTTTGTCAGATGAGCACATAGAATTGGATTAAGTCCACAAATTTTTACTAGCTACCAAAGAGTAAAAACCTTTCAGTCACCCTGATCAATCCTGCACTTGAAGCAGTAAAGGTGGAAGTAGGTATACTCTCTGTAACTTCAAGGAAAAAAATGAACCAAAAATGGCAAGCTAAAGGGTGTAAAAGGCATTTTGGTCATAGAAAATAATTGCCCCTTCTTTTATAGAAGTTTATTGTAAGCAGCATTAAATATGTTTCTAGAGGTTAGCAAAGATGTGTAGTCAGTCCCACGTTACTTCTTACTTATCCTTCTTACTCAGTCCTGCACAAGGAATGAAAAAGGAGAGGACATTAAACCTAAGTTGCAATATTCATCTTTCTTACTATACACCAAATACCATTAGTAAGGGAGCTCTAGCTGTGGCACATACAGGGGGGAAAAGGAGGAGTGCTCTTGGGATTAAATAGATTTTCTATAATAAAACTTGAAATCCTATTAATGGTAGTATTATCTGTTTCTCTCACTAAATACTTCTAGGCTTCTGTATTTTAGATTGAAGATATAAATCCACTGGAAGTCAAATTACTTAGTATAATTTATCATGACCGTCATTGACCATGCTCTGTTTTAAAATTCCACTGTATGTATGTCTCAAAAGGAAGTGACTAACTCTATAACATGGGAGTGACTGGCTTTCATGCAACTGTAACACAGTTGACTCTATTAGAACTAATTTTTCATAACAGATATTTCTATATTTTTTACATTCTCTATACTGGCACCTGGTTTTTATATACTGAAATGAATGTTGTGCTGGTAGTTAATAGCTCATACAGGTATAGGTTAAGAACATGCAAACTAACATGGATTAAGAAAGATCCAAACTTTTGGGATATCAGGTAAACTTCTTTGTCCAATTTCTTTTTCCAATACTTTTCCAAAACTTTCTTTTCATTTCTCAATAGTATGCATATCTTCATTTCCTGGTTCTCACCTGGTTCCTGTTATTTTTAAAAGAAGTTCTATAGAAGCAGGAACTGTATATTTTGTTTAACGCCAGCTAAGTGTGCAGACTCAAGAAATTTAGATAAGTATCTAAAACGTATAATTGCCAATTCCAGACTTGCTACCAAGCCTTTCTCCAAAGTTTTCACATTGCTGATCATCTGAAACATACAGGGCCATCATTTATTTTAGGTTGAAAACTTAAAAAAAAAAAAAAAAAAAAAAAA